TTATAAGTCTAAGAGCTTCAAAGACTGCTCTTGTTATACTGGTAGACTGTTGTATGTCGTCAAAAGAGAACGCTCATCTAGACTACCCTAGAGTGTTGAAAAAGGATATGCAAATTCCATGGGATTTGAAAGTAGTTTGGATGAAGCTTTTTCAGCAAACCCCCTCCTTTTTTGAAAAACTGCGTAAAACCTCATTTTCTGAGGAAGAGCTCCACTTTTGAAAGTAAGATTGGAAGAAGATATGCAAATTCCCACAGAATTTGCATATCCTCTTTCGACACTCTAGTGTAGTCTAGATGAGCCCAGAGCGCCTTGATCAAGCAGTTGTCAAGATAACGGAATATGAACATTCTGGCTCGCCGAAGGTAAGCCGCCACTACCGCGAGTGTCTTTGAGAAGACCCTGGGTGCTGACAACAGATGAAAGGGCAACATTTTGTATTGGAAGGGTTCAAGGCCTACCATGAATCTCAGGAAGCGCCTGTATGCTGGGCGGATTGTCACGTGGAAGTAGGCATCCTGCAGGTCGAGGGACGCAAATCAATCTCTGCTGTTGAGCACTGGAATGATAGAAGCTAATGTCACCATCTTGAATCTGTTTGCGAAGGTGCCGATTGAGCCGTCCATGGTCTAAGATCAGTTTCCACTCCGCTGATTTCTTTTGGGTAAGAAAATAATGGGAATAGAATCCCTTGTCCATGAACTCTTCTGGTAATCTCTCTACTGTGCCGATGGTGAGGAGACATGAGACCTCTTGCTTTACAAGAGTCTCATGAGAGGGGTCCCTGGAAAGGGATAGGGATGGTGGGAAGGATGGGGGGAGCGAGGTAAAGGGGATCGAGTAACCCGATGTTACGAGCTCGAGGAACAATTGATTGGTGGTAATGAAGGCCCATCGATGTTGAAATGGACTGAGGCAGTGATGAAATAGGCAGGTTCCTTCGGGTTGATGAGTGAGGAGGAGGAGATTTACAGGCCCTCGACCGACATGTCAAACTTGCTGTCGGGTATTTTGTTGGTTAGATACTCTATTGCTCTGTGGATGTCATTTCTGCAGTCGCTGTTTGGGACGCTGCTGATCATATGGTCTATGTTGAGGAGCACCATATAAGAAAGGCTTATACCTCTGATAAGGCATGTATCGTTTCCACCAATACAGTGGTGTGTACTTGCCTAATGTTTTGAGCGTGGTTCTGGAGTCCTTGCTGGAGTGGAGAACTTGATCCATTTTTTCTGCAAATAAGTTTTGTCTATTGAAGGGTAGGTCTTCTACCTTTGATTCTAGTTCCCTGGAAACTCCCAAAGACTGCAGCCATGAGGCTCTGCACATCACTACGGAGGTTGTGGTGGACCGTGCAGCTGTACTGGTGATGTTGAATGTGCATCACCAGTACCCTTCCTGTACTACAGTACCCTTCCTGTACTACAGCTTTTAGAATGTGGCGTTTGGTGTCCAGTTAGGTGTTCCATGAGCACAGTTAACTTTGTGTAGTTATTAAAGTTATGGTTCGCCAGTAGAGCCGCATAATTGGCCATACGCACAATCAGAGTGGCTGAGGAATAAACCGTTCTGTAGAATAGATCTAAGCGTGTGCTGTCCATGTCGTTGATGTTATTTTTATATTGCAGAGCCTTAGCTCTCTGTTGTGCCACGTCAAGCAAGTTAGGTTGTGGGAGTGTGAATAAAAAGTCCATTCCCTTTGAGGGGACAAAATATTTTGTATCTGCCCTCTTGTTGGTTGCCGTAGCAGACGCCGGTGTTAGCCAAATATCATCTGCCACTTCTAAAATTACTTAATTGAGTGGCGACGCAACCTTAGATTTTTGAGAGCTGCAGGTTTTTTAGCAGGCAATGCTATTTCTGTTGGACCTCCGTGAGTTGCACTTCCTGGCTCAACAACCCATTTAAAGAGGTCCTAAAATTGGCGAAGGTCATCAGTGAGTGATGAGTCCTCCAGAAACACTGCATCGTCAGGAGAAGATGAGGATTGGTCTGAGGGGAAAACCCCTTGAGGCTGTTCTTGGTCTGATGATTGACCCTCTTCAGGTTCAGAGTGCTGACGTGTCGGAGGATCTGTCTGAGTAGGAGTAGGAGGTCTTGTCCTGGAAGGAGTAGGTAAATTAACACGGCTGCAGGTGACGTACAACTGGCAGCAGCATGGTCACCTTGGATGAGAGTGACCTGGAGAGGAAGGATGGCATCGTCAGTAATAGTTGTGACTGTAGTGATGGCTATAGTGGCGTCTGGCGAGTGATGAATGCCTGGAGGAATATCTACTGCTTCCTTCATTATTATAGTGGGTGTAAGCTGAGAGCATGGGTGATCTAGACGATTGTGACCTCCACCTGGTGTGCACTGGAGACAAGGATGAATGTTGGTGACAGTGATAATAATGTGGCAAAAGAGAAGTGTGCGCCAAAGGACTTTGGTATTAGCCAGTAGAGCGGTGTCGTGGCATCTCCCCAGAGTGAACTGACGGCACTGGTGAAGGGGAAGGTTCCTCCAGAGAAAAAGAAATATATTCCAGGCTAGGAGAAGGAGTGATGAGTCTGCACGACTTATGACGTGCTTTTGCCGGTGTCACTGAGTGTACTGGTCCTGACTGAAGTGCACTTGACGTCGGTGCCAGCTGTGGTGCCAGTGCTGGAGCACCCTGCAGTGCAGGAGGTGGTGCTGATGTGTGATTTGCCGGTGGTGCCGGTCACATCGATGGTGCCGTCGCAGGTGCCGATTCAGGTATTGACGCTGGTTGTGGTATCGCAAAAACCACCGGTGCGGGTTCCCTCAGCAGATTTGACCCCGGTGCCGATGTGCTACAGGCCGTTTTTTGTTTTTCTGGGCAGCGGGTAGGAGCTGTCCCAAAAGTGCCTGGTTTATCCCCGGTGCTAACCTGCATTGGTGGCAACGAATGGGTTGGGGAGGGCCTTTTTTGACGGAGTTTGAAGGCCCTGGAAAATCCGCCTGACACTTGTTGGCTCTAAAACAGTCCAACTTGGGCTGAGAGGGATCATCTTGCATAGGCTGTAAAGCTTTGTTGAACAAAAGCATTTTAAGCCTCATCTCCCTGTCTTGCCTTGTTCGTGCTATGAGCTTTGAACAGTGAGGGCATTTCTGTGGAATATGCCCCTCACCGAGGCACAAGATGCAGCGGGAATGCCTGTCTGAAGCAGGCATGCATTCCTGGAAAGTGGCACACTTCTTAAATCCGGGTGATCCCGGCATGCCGAAAATGTCCCATATATTAAACATGCAGTGTTGAGATCCTTGTCCGCCTGTCTTTCTGGGTTTTTTTTTAATCAAGGAAAAAACCCTGCTATTAACACTATTTAACTAGAACTATTAACAACTACAACTATTTATCAAACTATTAACTATTTTAATTCCTGTCAGGATCTGATGAGAGGGAGCTCACTCAGTCTGCGACCAAGGACAGTTAAGAGGAATTGGTGGGAGCTAGACCGCATGCTCTCAGAAAGGGTGTGAACAGCACAAGGCACCTAATGTGCATGCACGGTCTGGCAGACCACTGCTGACGAATCTCCGATTTGTGGTGCTGGGACAAGCCTGACAGCTACAATGGAGCACCCACAGGGACACTACTCAAAGAAGAATCTATAATACAGTGGCTTAATGGATCTGATTTTATTTCCCTTTTGTGCCTATCACTGTAATAGCTTTCTAATTGCAGTGTAAGTTCTGTGTTTCTGGTGATGAAATCTCAGATTTGATTCACTGACTACAATTCTGTCTGCGTACATGGCCATAGTACCTTCATATACCTGTATTCATATCCATACATGCATGCTCACACACTTAATGACACTACAGATATTAAATCTGCTTAGGTCAGACCCTTTTTCCTATTTCAAATAAGGGGCTGCTGGTTTCTGTGTGATGGAATGTGACATATGTTACAATTCCTTTTATCCTTTTTTGCAGGATTGGTATACTGTTGCTATCTTCTATACCAGTGTTTGTCAAAGTGGTCCGTGGACCCACCCTAAGGCTACGACTACAGTGCACAGTTATTTTGGAATAAGCCATTCCGGAATAGTTATTCTGAAATAGCTTATTTGGCTGTGGTTTGCCATTTGCAGCCAAAGGGAGCTGCAGGAAGCAGCAGCCCACTCCACGCTGCTTCCCACGGTTCCCCTTGGCTGCAAAGTGCAAATAGCTTATTTCAAAATAGCACATCTTCACTGCAGGGAAGCCTCAAAATTAGTCGAAGGTAAGCTTCCCTAATGTAGACGTGCTTTCTCAATTTAGAGCCCCAGGAGGAATGACTTAAGAATGGCCCTGGTGAGGGTCTATTTCAAAATAACAGAAGTTGAGTGTCTACACATGCCTTATTTCGAAATAGCTATTTTGGAATAGGCATTCTTCATAGAAGGAGGTTTACAGAAGCTGGAATAAGTCATCCATTATTTCAAAATTATTTCAAAATAACAGAATTGCTGTGTAGATGCCTCACACAGTTATTCTGGAATAATGGTTTTTATTCTGAAATAACTTTGCTGTGTAGACACATCCTAAGAAAGCTGCTAAGTAGCCATTCCCATTTGTTTATTTACTGGCTTTGCAACCATGATGCCTTGCAGTTCCCACTGGCTGCACTTTGCAGCCAAGGGGAGCCATGGGAAGCAGCGTGGAGTGGGCTGCTGCTTCCTGCAGCTCCCCTTAGATGCAAATGGCAAACTGCAGCCAACGGGAGCCACAAGGTTCTGTAGCTGCAGAGCCAGGTGCAGCCAGTTAGTGGCTCTCTCAGAGTGGGTCCATGGACCACTTTGAGAAACACTGTTTTATGCCATACAATAAAGGGGATAAAGGAGCACCAGAGAACTTTTGCAGATACAGTTATCGCTCCTTAAAATTATTTTGTATCTTGAATGCAAAGTACCCTACTTTCGTTACTTCAGTGAAAAGTTCAAGAGAAAATCAAAACGAGCAAAAATTCTTTAACTGCCTGATATTCCCTTACATAAATATACACTCTTACTTACGCCATAACAATGACGCTGAAATCCAACCAATTCCATGGATCTCGAAGGAAAGTGAATTCATTCAGACAGAATCCTCTTGCCAATATTTTTATCAATGATTCAAAAGTGTAAATGCCAGTGAAAATGTACCTGGGGAGTAAAGTGTCCAAGAAATGTGAGAACATTAGCAACTAATGGATGAGGCACACTCAGCATACTCAATCTGTGAGCTGCCTCAGGGCCCCCAGGATCTCATCCAATGTCCCTCTCGAAGATAATGGAAAGGATCCATCGATTTCAATAGGTGTTGGATCAGGACCAAACTCATAGGCAATTTGAAATATTAGCTGACAGCAATCTGGATGCAATTATCAACACTATTTCTACAGTGTTTTCGCTTGCCTCTGACAACTTTCTTTCCTAAAATCTTAAAGTGTCTCAGACTGGTTACTCCAAATTTGAAGTAACCAAAATCATAGGCCACTTTTAAAAAATGTGAACATAATTCATATCATCATTTGTCAATGTGCCAAATGAGATGTATGGTGGTCACTCTGTGAATCTGCTAATCATTTCTATAAGGAATACTGAAAAACTTACAGTAATGCAAATGTATAGGGCCTTCATTTTAAAGGCAGTATTGTTTTAAATAGAAATTGTAAATACTCAGCTGGTTTTTCTAAGTGCACTTGTCACTTCAGCAAGACTGAGGCCTCCTGAGGGAATTCTAAAGGCACTTGATACTCAGAAAAGATGTTCAGAAATGATTTAACAGCAATATAGCCCTTTTTATCGAGAAAAATTATCCTGAAAATATTGAGTTAGTTCAAACAGCATTTCACTTCTTGCAGCATATAATATTTCTTCTAAATTCTGACTCCCTTACATAGAACTTAAGAGGGTACACCAGATATAATTAGAGATGTATATTAAAATCATTACACACTTTTATGCAGATATTAGTAAATTGGATGAGCTAATAGACTGAAAGTTGTTAATTTAGATGCTTATCTTGCAACATGCTGAAAAAGGGAAGGAGATGCAGTAATGTTAATGGGATTTATGCAGGTACATGGATCCAGCTACCTAGAGTTCATTATAGGACCCAATGTTGGTAACAGCAAGCATTCAAAACTCATAAGCCCGGCCCGAAAATGACACATGATTAGCTTAAGAATAATGGCATTTTTAAAACACATTTGGTGTTCTTTTTCTTTGCCTTCTGTTAAGGCATTCGTGTTCACATTTTCAAACTTTCTTCTCTAACTAGAAAACTACACAAATCAACATTTTTTGGAAGGAATTTAAAAGGACAAAGGATTACATCTTAAAATACTTATTTAGTATTTATATTGCTTACCCTGACAAGTCTTCCAACAATGAGAAAAAAAAACTGAGGAAGGATTTCAAGGCTTAGGTCAATGAAAGGTGGAGGAAAGATAAAAGAATGTTAGCACTTTTTGGTACTTCATTTTTCATATTCTTCTTTCATTTATTCCATTATAAATCCAGAACGATTCCAATGAGTTACTCTTGATTTACAATGGAGCAAATGAAAATAGATGATGGCCCTATATCCATAAAGCAATAATCATGATGTTCCAGCACAAGCAAAATTCCTACTGATTCCAGTATAATGATACTTTGTGTGAGGACTATATTAGGCCAATAAAAAAATTAAATTAGAACTAGAGAATTCAGAAAAATAAATTCCTACAGCAATACTTACTCAACATATTTGTTCCATGAAGGAGATTCATCTGTCTTAAGCTTTTTAGGACTCTCTGACATAGCCATGAAGACACAATTTGTTAAAATAGTGCACATAATAAACAGAGTGAACAATGTAAGTAAAAGGAGTTAAGGAAAAGAACATTATAATGTAATCAGAAAATGTTACTAATACAAAAGTGTTTTAACAGTTATGGATCTAATATTTTACATCAAATTCTATAACATGCATAACAATATTATTTTGATGTTATTCATTTTAATTAATGTCACCTCATAGCACACTATTGTTAACATTATTTATTATATAGTAGCACCTAAGCAACTAAGATTGGGACTTCACTGCATAGAACATCACATGTAAAACTTGTGAGATAGGTTTGTCCCTACCAGTACAAATGTGTGACAAGGGTCCCTGTGCTGGGCCCCTAGAACCTCTGGGCCCCAGTAAAATGTACCCTTTCCCCCCCATGGGGGTGCCCTGCCTACTTGAAAGGACTCACGGTCTCAACAGGTAAGAATGGCAGAGAGAGAAATGGGATGTATGTTTATCCTCATTTTAAAACAAGAGACTGATGTACAAAGAGATAAAGGACTCAGAGCCACAAAGGTAGATTTCAATAGAAGTTAGGAACCTAAGTGGCTTTGTGGAACTGGAACTGGGCCTAAGTGACTTGCCCAAGGTGACACATATAGTTATGACAGATGGGAACTGAATCCAGATATCAGCGTCTCAGGTCAGTGCCTTAGCCTTCCTCACACAAAAATAGTGTGTTCAAAAATATGTCACTGTTTGTTACTGCGCTCCTGGCTTTTATCTTTCCTCTTATAATTTGTTGCACTCATTGTGACATATCTATCTTAAATTACATTGTAAGCTCTCTAGCACAGGAACTATATCCTTGTATGTGTTTGTACTGCATCTGGCTGAGGCTCTTGGGCAATACAAAAACCACCTTCCCTGTACCAGTACAAAACGATATGCACCACTTCTTTATCGGAGCCTGTCCTCTGTTGGCAGGATGGGCTTTTGATTACAGAACCTGCTTCTCCTCAGGGTGCTCATAGCACTCATGCAGGGCTCCTTGTATGTTGTGGCACTCTGGGATCTGTACAGTAGCAGGATCACACTCTGTCTTGGGTTTGAAAATCACTGTGGTATTCAAGAGTAACTTCACAGAGTAAAACTGCTGAAACACTCTAGTGAACCAAGCCCATTGACTTTAATGACATTACTCATAAATTACACAGATTTGGACTCTCTATTTCCTGGTTTCCAATGCATCCAACACCATCTTTCCTATCTACAGTTTTATCTTTGCACTTTCCCATTTCATTCATTCATATACAATTCATATATATTGAAGAGTGACCACTGGGGGGTGGTTACACCAGAAAGAGATGAGGAGTCCTGTGGCACCTTATAGACAAGGGCTACGTCTACACTGGCCCCTTTTCCGGAAGGGGCATGTAAATTTCAGCAGTCGTCGTAGGGAAATCCGCGGGGGATTTAAATATCCCCCGCGGCATTTAAATAAAAATGTCCGCCGCTTTTTTCCGGCTTTTAAAAAAGCCGGAAAAGAGCGTCTAGACTGGCCCCGATCCTCCGGAAAAAGCGCCCTTTTCCGGAGGCTCTTATTCTTACCTCCCCATCGGGGGCTCGTGCCCCATTCCTCCCTCACCTCCTTCCACTTACCCTTCCCTAGCCCCTTTTCTTGATGTACAAAATAAAGGACAGTTGTGTTCAAAAATGGAATCTGTCTTTATTGAACAAAACTGGGGGACACTGGGAATAAGAGGTGGGAGAGGGGAAGAGAGAAGGTGGGAGAGGGGAGGGCAACTACAATGATCAGGGGTTGGGAACAGGTCCCATATGAAAAGAGGCTAAAGAGACTGGGGGTATGTCTACACTACCCCGCTAGTTCGAACTAGCGGGGTAATGTATGCATACCGCACTTGCTAATGAAGCCCGGGATTTGAATTTCCCGGGCTTCATTAGCATAAGCGGGGAGCCACCATTTTTAAATCCCCGCTGCTTCGAACCCCGTGTAGCGCGGCTACACGGGGCTCGAACTAGGTAGTTCGGACTAGGGTCCTATTCCGAACTACCGTTACTCCTCATGAAACGAGGAGTAACGGTAGTTCGGAATAGGCACCCTAGTCCGAACTACCTAGTTCGAGCCCCGTGTAGCCGCGCTACACGGGGTTCGAAGCAGCGGGGATTTAAAAATGGCGG